ATAATAGATAAAAATTTTATGCAAATATAATTTCTCATGGAATTTGACATTGAAATACTGTGTGACGTTCACGTTTCATGATTCATGCGAACTAGCTATGAACCCCACACTACAATTCTCATGTGAATCCACCCCCTTCATTTTAGCGCACTTACATATATTTATAGTGAACTAAATGTATACATAATTATAATTTTACTTTATATTTACATATAGCTCGTACTTATTGTAACAGGATGAGGACGTTAATGTAATGTTAAATTGTAATTCATATGTTAAAGTGACCGACATAGTATATGCGCATGTAACTCCCCTGAAGCATCAAAAAAACCGAAGTTATTTTTTATTTTCTAATGATTCAACATATTTTTCTGTTATGCAAGGTCTTCTACGTACACTTTTTGAGCACAGCATGTAATCACTCGGGTTCTGACTCTAAGTAACTCGTATGCTTTAGCCACCGTTCGTATCCAAACTCTAATAGTTCCAAAATTATGTTAAGTCACGAACTCTGCTCTCTAGTGAAAACCTAGTTTTAGACGTTATATATTTTAAATGTACTTTAGTTTTTATTATTAAAATGTTTAAATTATTTGAATTCAATCTCTAATTAAATCTTTATTCTAGTGTTAAAGTCCTAACCCAGAATTCGCGAACCTTAATTGTTAAGCATAAATCCACGCGTTGCGTTTAATTCACATTGAAGAGGCAGTTCACCATATCATCGTCACCTTCCTCATCGACAACGCTGCGGATGTACATTCAACCACAGACGACGTACAGGCATAAACGAGGTACAGGATAGACCTTGCACCTGCTGTATTTTTGTGTCCAACGTTCTGAAATACCGATCGTGTAAAAAATCAGAGTTTTTGTTATGCCCTCTACGATATAAAGTGGTGAGTTTAGGAATTACATACATACAATCTAACCATCAAAGATGATAAAGTCGACAAATATAAAAAATCCTCTTTTATTAAATTTGCATATAAAGATACATACATACATATATTGGATTGCGTGGGTAGAATTGTTCACGATCTTCTGACAGGAGTAGAACACGCGCACATGATGAATCATCTACTAATAAACAATTACGTTACTTTCTTATTTGTAATTTTATAGTTACGTTTAATTCCAACAACTACTAATGTAATCTTATTCTATGCTGAATCCGTAACGTTGGTAGCGACACGGTTGGTACCCCAAAACACCAAACAAAAAGTCCCATAAGACTGGAGGCACACAATCGTTGCGTTTTGCGTTCAGTACGATTGGGACTCAATGGACGACTGACGGTATGTTCGTGTGACCTACTACATTATTGGTATACAATACAGAACGTGCGTCGACAGATCCTAACGTCCGTTCTAGCATAAATACGTCGAAGAAAAATTAACGCACGTTCGCAGTGTACGAGCTCAAATTACGACAATGTATTTCTACACGGACGTCATTTCAACGCTCGTGACCCCCAGCCTAAGATAAAAGGTTTATCCTGTACGTCGTTTGTGCACATATGTTGTACTTTACATGCTGTATATACTTACCTATATTTTATTTATTACATGAAGTTGCATATGAGGTTTTCGTTAATTTAATTACTAGTTTTATTATAATATAATTTTATTAGTTATTATACATACATACATATACAGTGACCGAAAAAAGTATTCATACATCCTATAAAATGGAATAACTTTTTTATAATCGGGCCAAACGACTTGAGTTTTTTTGAGAAGTTAGAAAGATTAGTTTACTAGGTGACGTGTAAACAAATTTTTGAAAAAACTGCAATTAGTCGGAATCGCAAAGAAAATAGCGAAGGTCGTTTTTACAACTTTTTTTTATCTGAGCTCGTAATGAGAATTTAAAAAATACGTTTTGTAGAACTATGTCAATTATATACACGCTGAAAATTTCATCGAAATCGGTGGATGGAGAAACAAACGACAGGCATCGAAAGATGTAAGAATCTGCAGATTTATTACAGTTCTAGGCCGAAAGTCGTAAAATAGTGCGATTTTCACAATCTTTAACCGTTTGTAGCTCATAACAACATTAATCGATTTCGATAAAATTTTCAGCGTGTGTATAATTGACATAGATCTACAAAACGTATTTTTTAAATTTTTATTACGAGCTCAGATAAAAAAGTCGTAAAAACGGCCTTCGCTATTTTCTTCACGATTCCGACTAATTGCAGTTTTTTCAAAAATTTTTTGACACGTCATCTAGTAAACTAATCTTTCTAACTTCTCAAAAAAACTCAAGTCGTTTGGCCCAATTATAAAAAAGTTATTCCATTTTATAGGGTGTATGAATACTTTTTTCTGTCACTGTATAAAGTATTAAAATAAAAGCAATACACTTCTAGACGCATTACGAAGGTTCGTGAGACGTTCCGAAACGTGTCAAATTCGTAAGAATATGCAGATTTATTAGAGATACATAGGTTACATACTTCAACGTAATTTTTCGGACAAAAACAGAAAGTGTGTTACCACGCGTAGTGTAATAGTGTCGCTTCGATACCTTAAAACAGAGGCACTTAACTTCTTGCTCACGAGCAAATTTCCCCTCCCGAGGTTCCCGCACTATACAGTACGAACACGCAGAATGTATAACATAAACCAACGACAGTCGCTGGAGTTGTGGTGGGAGGACTCCTCGCGTTCCCCTCCTGTCGCGCCGCAACTCGAGTGAGACCATCTCAGTCGCATAGTGGGGGAACCTCGGGAGAGGAAATTTGATCGTGAGCAAGAAGTTAAGCGCCTCTGTCTTAAGAGTTGTATGTAAAATATGTGATTGTCCATTATTAAATAAACTTGTTTTGTAAAAACTTAACAGCTGTAAAGCAATATTGGTGTATTGTAACCTTTTGTAAAGTACTTATATTTTATACAGTTATCTTACAATAAATCATTGATTTTCTGATAAATAATTGCATATCTTCATTTTTCCGGATGTTCAAGTCCTTTCATCAATGGTCCTAGAAGGTCCATCTGTAATTCATACGAAAAGAACATTAATTTTTTTAATTTTTAGTAAAAGTTGTAAACAATTTCTGACTAATGCACTGAATACAATGGTTACTTCAATGCGAAATTAACAAATTAAGCTATTTTACAATTTGAACAACAAAAATTTTTCGAAAATTACAAATGAAGGATAAAGAAAAAGAAAAAATTACAAACAGTGAATTAGAATTATTAAATTTCACAAAAATCAATGAACAAACACAACATAATTATAATGCTGTTCTTACTGTATGTATAACGTAGCATAATTACCAAGTAAAATGGTAATTAAAATTATTACAAACTGATATAATTTTAGAAATATCAAAGCTGTTTATATGAAGAGGAGCAGGTGAATAAAAAATTTCAATCTATTTTTGAACAAAAAAATTATGTAGAAAATGCAATATTCAAAAAGTTGAAGGAAAAAGTTATATTATAGAATATGAAATTTCAGTTGCACGTATAGAAAATATATATGGAAATAACATTTTAGAACTAGAAAAGTTTACAAATGTAACTGAAAACCAAAAAACAGAATTGCAAGAATTGTCACAGAAGAATATTGAAAAGGAAAAACAAATAGATGAATTGCAAAAGGAAATAAAAAAACATGAAATTATGATAGAAAAGACACAAACAAAACTTCAAGGAATAAATAAATTTATTGATCAGGTTGTATACTCTTTACTTTTATTTTTCAATTCAGAGTAGAATTTAATTTAAAAATTATGTTTAATGTTTATTGAATAAATGATTTTAGATAATATTAAATATTGGTGGAGAAGATTTGAGTCCACTGGATTTAAAAATTATTAGTTTAGAAAAAAATATGCAGAAACTTCAACAAAATATTAAAAAAACACAGCAATTCTGGATGCATCAATGCAAATAAAATTATAATTTCTCTCAATCAAAAATTGTTACGTATAAATATAGATTTAGTGAAACAAAATGATTTAAAAAAGGAATTGGAGGATAAAAATTGTGTGATTAAAAGTGAATGTATTTTGTCTTTTCAAGAATTTGAATTAGAACTTATAAAATTACAAAGTGATTTAAAACATTTATGCACTGATAAAATAATGTTAAAAGAAGAATTAAAACTTGTACAACAAGAAAGTTTATCATGGGAAAAAAAGGTAGTTTATATTATTATATCTATTTTTTATCTATTCACTTTCAGTTATTATAATATTCATGCAATTAAGGTGCAATTGATGCAAGATACAGTAAAAAAAATAAAAGAAGAACAAAGTGTTGGAGGTATAGCATCAATGAAAAGTGAAATTCATAGAATGGAAATAAGACTTTTCCATTTGAAAAAAATTCAAGAAAAATTGATTCATGATATGAATCTCTGTATTACAAGAAGAGAAATTATAGTTAACAAAGTATTTGATAAGCTTAAAAAAAATCCAAAAGTAAAACATAATGAAAGGGTTGTAATGCATAAACGTTTATCTGATCAAAGAATAAAAATTAAACAACTTCAAAAAGTAAGCATAAAAATAATTAATTTCTAACAAATTAGCAAACTACGTATTTTATTATTAACAGATTGCAAAAGAAACTGATAATATGGTAGAAAAATTGAAGAACCAAATAACAAGTATTCGGAATAAAATAGACAAGTGCCAGGAGTTTTTGCAAAATTTGAAAAAATATATTAGCAGCATAGAAGATGAGATTGCTCAATTGGAATTGTTAAAATACCATGTATGTTTTAATTGTTCTATATCACTAACAACATTTGTAACATTTTAATTATATTTTTCCATTTTCAGAATTTGCATAGCTAGGTTTTTAAACAAAGAAAAGTAAAACAGTTACATAATGTTAAAAATGGTGTATATAAAATGGTTTGTAAAAGTGAAAATGTGATAGAAGAAAATTTGCAAAGAGAATACTGCTGCAGGGAATACTTAAAATATGTATTGGAAAGAACTGATCAAGATTTTCCAATGTTAAAAGATAGTATAAAAAGAATATTATTGGCTTTGCAAATTTTTTAAGCATGTAATAAATATATAAGATAAGATAAATATTTGATTATTATATTATCATTATACAGATTATATTATCATATTATCATACCATATTCTACGTTGATTAAATAGATTGCACAGTGATATAAAGTTTATGTAATTATTATAAGAAAACATTTTATCAAAAATTTCTCTTGATAATATGTAAGAAGGTCAATATGGTATTATATACTTCAAATTATAATTGACATTTGAAAGCATATATTTCAAAAGCAAATGGACAGAAACATGTAGAATTTGCCAAAACACAAATTATGATAAAGTTTTTGAAAAAATGTTATATTCTCCAATATAAGGAACAAATTGTATGGAGACATCAATGAAACAATGAAACACGGAAAAAGATCTATAATGTTGCATGGGAGCAAATGGCATTGGAAACAGAATGTATAGAAGGTATAATGGATTGTAGCGCTATCACCACCAAAGGTACAGACTAACATTAATCTTTCCTAGTTATCCTCGGCTAAAGCTCCTATTACTATATACAGTACTGTCACGTTAGCTGGTCGGGATTTCGTCTTACTAGCTGGACATTGCTATTCCTACCCTGGTTTTGTGGAGTGAATTTCCAGCGATACGTATCTAAACTAAACAAGGACCTCGATATTTCATATCAGGTATCCATATCCTACTCGCACTCAATGGAAAAGAAACATACTGGGGATTTCCTAGAATATTACCCCCTCGATTGTTGGGCAGATGTGGTCCCGAGCTACAACTAGCTAACGTAAAAGTACTGTATATAACTTCTAACCTGAATCTAATCGTCACTAGAAATTTTACTGGCTTTTATTGCTAGTTTTTATATTTGAACGTTTCAGTTTATTCTTGCCAGCACAACTGATAGAATTAAGGTTTGTAGACGCGGAAATCTTGATTCGCTTTTAATGCTCTTCTAATTTCCGTAAAGAAATATAGGGTGTCCCATTTAAAAAAGTTATGGTGACTTCTTTTATATAGTTTACATAGATATAGTAATAATCAGTACCCTTCATAACATTGTTAAATATTAACGTATAATGTAATCTGTTAAGTCAAAAGCGTGGCAAGTGCACGCGTACGCGAAGAATTTTCAGACTTAATTTTCTCGAAAACGAAGCTGCAAACAAAAATCGTTATTTTATATTTCTGATTTATTTTTTCATAAGGAATCTACCCATGCCTGGTTGTACTACTCGTACCGAAACATCCTGTATATTTACATATTTATGACTGAGAAAAGCATGAGCACCAAGTGTAAAGAATTCTATACTCTGTCCAATTTAAGAATAACCTCGCTTCGCGCATAGGACGTGCCTAAGGCAGGGTTAGAACGTCCAAACCCCCACTTAACCGCCTACGTTTTTCTCCGTTTTACCCTCTGCTACACTCTCTGTCTATGCACAGAACGGACGAAAATCGGCCCGAGAGCGAGATTATTCTTAAATTAGACAGAGTGTAGAGATACATACATAGGCATACATTAGATTGAACATGTAATAAGCGGTAACTGAATATCATAAGATTAAAAGCAATAAAATAGTTGTTAATTTGAGAAAGTTTGAGGAATTATAAATCAAGGATTTGCACAACACAACAAGTTTTATTGATCAAATATTTTCACGTTGTTTATGTAACTATAAAATCCAAAATATTCTAGTACAGAAACGTTTATAATTCCGAAAAAAATCTGCTCATAAGTCGGAAAGGTTCTGTATAAAGTACAAAAGGTTTCATCCAGAAATCCAAAAAGTATCTGTTTAAAGTCTGAATGGTATCTGTCCTATGCGAAAACACGCCAGTAAGCTAACGAAAATCCTCCCTCCAAGCCACATTTTGGAGGAAAATAGGGAAAAGTGGGACCTAGACATATCAAATTATAAAATGAGGTGGTTTCCCGATTATGCAACGCCTACAGATTTGATGCACCTCATCCTGCAAACAGGACATGCTTGCATATCCTTGTTCAGGATACCATTTATCTCACAGACTGTAGCTTTACAATACGTCAAATGCTGTTGAGGGTGATCTAACATTACAATATTTCCGGAGAACGTTGGTGTTATCTTATAATCAGACCAAAGTCTTCGAGAAAATATATACAATCTATAGCAAATTTACTTCCTCAAAAACGGCACTATTTTGTGTCGACTGGAGCGTAAGACCGAACACATGGTTCTAACAATAGTATTTAATTAGTCAGAATTATAGCCAGAGCAAAAGAAGACTTTTTTAAGTAGTATAGCCAAACAACAGAAATAAAGATACGTCTCAGTAATGTTAACAGGGATGTGAGCTATAAACTCATCTGGGATATACTGCAACCAATTTTTTAAATCTTCAGTTGATTGGCCAAAATACATCACGTATTGGTAATCAATAAGTCGTGATATAGGCATCGTTGATTTATATCGTAATCACCTATAGTTCTTATATACGTTGGTATTGGTGTATCTGTTGATCCCTAATAAAGCGCTCTACAATGTTGGCGAAACAACGGAACACTTTTGCACAAGGACATAATTTAAAACCGTAAGCTTCGAATATATAATCTAAATCATGGTTAATCTCTTTTCGGTCGTATCGCTGATAAGAAATACTTCCAAGGTAACGATTATCTAAAATTTCGTAAGTATTTGAAAGTACTGCATTTCGTAAAGTATAATCAAACTTAAAACACGTAAGGGGGCATTGCTTGACGCTTTAAACACCTGATTTTCTAAATTTCATTTGTTTAACACGGTACGTAACAGAATACAGCGGTAACATATAGCAATAAAATATTAAATTCGCAGTGTTTTAATAATGAAATATTTTTTTCAATAATATCATAAATTACGATATTTTGATTTCATACGTATATTTTTAATGATATTTTCACATTCCTACTATTTTTTGTATACAAATGATAATATTATGTTAATAGTAATGGTGGATTTACAATAATATAAGAAGTAAACAAATGAACTTAATTTAAAAAAAGTATAAAACTTCAATTGTTAACAGTATTTTTAATTTATAGTCAAAGGTGAAAATTTAGTTTATTTTTCTGTTTTAAATGTTTAAATACACTCCTGTTTGTTTTGTAAATTAAAATAATTCTAAATTAAATTTAAACACTTGATAACAAACTGTAATTTTTGATAAATAATACCTGCAACTTATAACTAACTACTTTACTGGTCAATAACTACTTTTAGATACTTATTAAAATAATTTCGAGAAAATGAAGTTGGAACAACTTGGAATTTCACAACAAACCTTGGTCTTCAATAATGGAGGTCAAGTTGTACCAGCTAAAACATCGGTTCAATATATACCTGCTTTAGCAGCAGCTCTTGGAGTCTTAGCAACTGGAATGACACTAGGATGGACCTCCCCTGCTGGTGACAAAATTTACAATCTTTGTATGGTATAAATATTTCTTCAGAAGAGTTTTCATGGATTAGTGCAATAGCTCCAGTGGGTGCAACATTAATGTGTATTCCTACTGGAATTCTTGCTGACACAATAGGAAGAAAATATACAATGCTCTTAATAGTGGTACCTTTTACCATAGGTTGGTTACTTATAATTTTTGCCAATTCTGTGCTCATGTTTTATTTAGGTAGATTCATTACTGGTCTTAGTGCTGGAGCCTTTTGTGTAACAGTACCAATATATATTGCAGAAATAGCTGAAAGTCGTATTCGCGGAACCCTTGGATCTTTTTTCCAATTGAATATTACTATAGGCATTTTCATAACATATGTGTTGGGACCTATTTTTAATATGCGTATACTATCTATTATATCTGCTATTATACCGCTTATCTTTTTTGGAATTTTTATGTTCATGCCAGAATCACCTATCTATTATTTAAAAAAAGGTGATGAAGATTCTGCTAGAAAAAGTTTAATTAAACTACGTGGTGTTCAATACAATATAGAAAATGAATTACAAAGTCATAAAGATGCATTGGTGAAAAACAATACAAATGCAACTTCATTTTGGATCGTACTAAAATCTAAAGCAACTATAAAGGGCTTTATAATAGCTTATGGCCTCATGTTTTTTCAACAAATGTGTGGTGTTAATATTGTTATATTTTATACCGACAGTATTTTTGAAAAAGCAGGCAGTGATTTAGAGTCTATTTACTCTACTATGATAGTGGGTGCAATACAAATAGTAGCAACTTCTGTAAGCACATTAGTTGTAGACCTTGCAGGCAGAAGAATATTACTGTTGATATCTATAATATTTTTATGCTTAACAACATGTGCACTTGGAATATATTTCTATCTCTTAGAAATTAATGAAGATGTTAGTACAATTAGGTGGTTACCGTTAGCTTCTATGTGTATTTTTACTATTATGTTTAGTATGGGTTTTGGTCCAATTCCATGGATGATGACAGGGGAAATTTTTCCAGCAGAAGTCAAGGGTGTAGCTGCTAGTAGTGCTTGTCTTGTTAACTGGATATTGGTTTTTGTTGTAACTAAATATTTCAGTAATGTTTCACAGATAATTGGTGTTGGTGAAACATTTTGGTTGTTTTCTGTATTATGTGTTATTGGAACCTTCTTTGTATATTTATTAGTTCCTGAAACAAAAGGAAAAACTTTAGAAGAAATTCAAAGAGAATTAAATGGCTCATAATTATCATTATATTTCTTAAAACTGTGAGACTGATTGTAGGTTTAAAATTATTTTAAATTGTTTCAAATAATTGATTTACATAATTACC